GAGTAGCAAAAAAAAACTGGACCCATCGTCTCTGCTACACAACAGAGTAGCAAAAAAAAACTGGACCCGTCGACAGGCGTCGTCTCTACTGTACAACCGAGTAGCAAAAAATAAAAAGAAAATCCTAATGTCCACATACTGTCGTCGTCTCCATGGAACAACATGGACATAAATATGCAACAACCCTACCGACAGAGCGTCCAGGCTGTACAACCACGTGAAAAACAACAAAAAAAAAATGAAAAAAAATACACCACGGACGTCGTCATTTCGCACCAGAGCGCGGCCTCTCTCGGCGGACGGGCGGCCATGCGGTCCTCCCCGGCACCCTCCTCTCCCTCCGGCACATGTGCCCCGTGCCCCGCTGACGTATGCCGCATGTGCTGCAGCGGCCGACGTGGCCACCTGTGCCCTGTGTCTGCGGGCCGCAGTCTCGATCGGCTCAGACTCAGTGTCTGCGTCCTCGTCCTCCTCCGCCTGTGCAGCAATCCCCCTCTCTCTCTCCCTCTGAATTGCGTCCAATGCTGCCTGCCCAGCGGCGACCCCTGCAGCGAGTCGAGCCTCAACCTCCGAGAGGCCATGTTGTCGTCTCGTCCCGGGACGCATCAACAACCCCTCCTTGCCCAATGTGAACTGCTCTCCCTGCAGTCTGTCCGTGGATGTCCCTGCCGCCTTGAGGACCAATGATCTCCTCGTCTCCGCTCGTGACAAACCAAGCATGCGGCCTGCCATCTGCAGGCTCCGAGGTCCGGACCCACCCTCCGCAGCCTGCGTCTAAACAGCCGTACGTCCCGTGAAGACGCCCCTCCCGGCGTCGTAATCCGCCCGCAACCGGTCCCCGACCCGACGAACAGCTGACCATCCGCCACCCACACCACCTCGGACTGTCGGCGGAGAACCGCCACTGTGCGCAACTCCGGATGCCGTTGTCCCGTCCCCGGTGTCGACCCCGGCCTCCGGAGTTCGTGCGGGCAGTGGAGGCATCGATCCTGCACTATCTCTACCGTCGTTGCTGCGTCTGCCGGATCCCACCTCACCAGCACCGGACTCCCTCCCTCTCACGCCGCTGAGCGACGAACCCGACCATCGAGGAATCTGCAACACAAATGGCGGCGGTGAATATTCCCCTCTAGGGGGCCGCCTCTGGCCGCTCCTACGGCCCGTGTGTGCGAAACGGTCATCCGTCAACGCTTGCACCAAAGCGTCGACGTCGAAGAAAGTGTGCGCTGTGTCCTAAGGGCGCAAGGGAGGCAGTGTGGGGTCCCTCAACACCAAGGCGAGCCTATACGGATCGTCCTCGGGACCGTGGTCGTCGTCATCGTTGCCGTCCGGTCCATCGTCTCCACCGACACCCACGGTATCCCCATCTCCACCGAGCCCACCCTCTCCTCTGCTGCACACTGCGGCACCCTGTCCCTCATCACCTGCGGTCTCGCTGTCGCCACGGCCCCCACTAGGGGACCCACCGCCCATGACAACATCCTACCCCTCAGGGACACCCGCAGTCTCCTCGTCGTCGCGTCGTCCACCACCTGACCCACCACCCGCGGCGGCATCCTGCCCCTCATAATCGAACTCCCCCTGAACCGCCTCCTCAGGGACACCCGAGTCGTCGACGTCACGGCTCCCCCCCCCTCCTGTCTCCAAGTCCCTTTGTCGACACTGCTCGTCGAGATAAGCGAACCGACCCTCCCACTGTGGCAAACTCCGCAGCCGCTCCTCCTCCTCTCAGTCCAAACGGGCATCCCTCTCCTCCTCAGTCTCAACAGGGCCCCGCTAAACGTCCGCGTATGTGCGCACCTCCTGCGGTGAGGCACGTTGACGTCCCTCGACACTGAAATCTCCCAAGCTCCCGCCAAGCCCTACGACGTCGAAGTCCTATACGCGGAGCACCGGCGGCGAGCGGGGGTGGATACCGGCGTCGGAAGGAGTCCTCTCCCCCCCACGATCCTCACCGACATGTGTCCGGTCTCTGCCTGCTGCCAACACCAACCTCTCCGAACGCCTCAGTGTCTCGGGCTGTGCAGAGATCGGATGATGGGAGGGAGAGAAGCGACGATTGCGAAGGGGCACCTCCTCATCCTCGGCCTCCCCCTCGGCCTCGCTATCGCTCCTAACCTCCCAACGCCTGCCTGTCTCTCGAAGACCTCCCCGTGGCTGCTGCTCCCCCAAGTCATCCACGTGAACCTCCGCATGCGAACGTCCTCCACGACCACCGCCGGCTCTGCTGCTGCCACTCGCCTGCGTGATCGACGGCACATCACCAGTGATAACTGATGTGAATGAATCCATGTCGCCACGACCCCCACCGTAAGTGAAGTACACTCGCTCAGCCGTCGGGTCGCGACTCAGTGACGTGTCATCATCATCAGTCCAGTCGTCGTCGGTGTCGTTGTCTGCCGCAGCAGCGTCCACATCATCCCCACCCTTCGGCCACGGTCGCAGCTCCGTCGCTCTGCTGCCAAACACGTCCCGAACTGAACGGGCTCTGGACGGTTGGCTGTCATGGAAAGCGACAATCTGCCGCTGGATCTCCTGCTCGAGAACACTGCCATCAGGTCGCGCTCCCCACACCTCGGGCTCCACATCTCCCTCCTCATCCTCCTCCTCTGCCGCCGTCCCCCCCCAACCGGTCCCCATAACCCATGGCAACACGTAGCCACCACCCTGTCGTGCGCACGAGGCCAGTTTGAGATTGGTGGCAATCTCAACCAGTTGTGCAAGCTTGGCGAACCCAAGCTTGCAGCGCCTCGCCGTGCTGACGCGCTCATGCTCTGCCCAGTTCCTCTCCACTGGAGAGGCAGACATCCACAAGTGCATGACACGGATGGCGATGGTGCGCAACTCCGGGTGGGCACGTCCAGGCTCAAACCACCACGCTGCACATCGCTCGGTCTCGCTGTCCCCCCTGCAATCGGCCGCCTCGGCATCGGAGAGGTCACGATCTCCCCAATCCCCTCGCCTCGAGTGGAACGCCCTCATCTGGCCCCTCACGCTCCTGTACAATAAGCCGACCGGATCGCCGCCGGTCTGCGCGAGGAGAAATCTGTCGCACTCCTCGACCATAGTGCGGTCGTTGGCGGTCGTCTCCAGCGAATGGTAATACGTGAGGGACCGTTGACGAGGGTTGAGGAGGTGGGCCGAGGCATGTGCGGGCTCTAGCATGTGGAGGTTGCGGATGACAACCTCACGTACGCACGGCTCGATCATGTCCGTCGGCACGTCGACCCTCCTCATCAACTGCAGCAGATGCTGACTCCACTCGTAAACGACGGACATCATCATCCCACCTCTATCCATCCTGCGCAACAGCTGGTGGACGGGCAGCATGACTAGGATGGCGTACTGGACACGCTGCTGCTGCACCCACTGCGCCTGAGATACATGGGCGCGATCCCACGGGATGTGTGCCCAAACATCCCCGTGCAACATGCTCTCCAACGCGTCTCGTCGGCCTTTGAGACACGTCAGCATCAAGAAAACCGATGCAAACCGTGTCTCAACAGGCTCGACGAGCTGAACGCGAGGGCTCACCTTCCTAAATAGGGTGTGAGCAGCGCCGTGCGATTTAATAAATCGCACAAGCGCTCGAGCGCGGATGATGGTCTCCTTGACCCACACCACTCGCGTTTCGATATCTGACAACATCAAGTTGCAGACACGGGTGGAGCAGGGGAGCCAAGTGATCCTCCTGATGTCAGGCTCGGGGTCTGTGGCGAACCTGCACGCTTCCGCCGTATAGTTACTGGCGGAATCTGTGCAGAAGCCAATCACATCCTTTGCAGGAAAGGACAAGATGATGGCCCGCCACCTACGGTACACGATGTCTGCTGTGTCTCAGACCGACCCGTCACGTGTGACGGTGACGTACAGCAGGGCGTCATTGGCGCCCCCAGCGAGGAAGTTCACGAGCGGCTTGCCGCTGCGCGACTTCCTCCCATTGGAAAGGATAGTGGCACCACTGTGCCGGAAAGTGGTGCGCACCTCGCTCACCATCGTCGCCACCTTCGCCCTCTGCGAAGGGATACCGGCGCCCGCTGTAACCCTGTAGGAGGGAAACCGAAACTAGATAGAGCGAGGCACTCTCTCTGCTGTCTGCCACACCCTTTGGAACTCCGGACCACGGAAGGCATTGAATGGCGACTTCTTCACGTAGATCCACTGAAGCCACGCGTCTGTGAACTCGGCCAACTTCTCCCTGGCGTACATCTCGTCAATCAAGGTCTGCCGAGCCCTCTTCTCCCTGCCCGTGTCTGGCACCTCGACGCCAGCCTGACCCACTGCCCTCTTCTCGCTCCTCGCGCGCTCCACCTCAGGTCGCGGCGCCCTAGTAGCAGGACCCGCTCGACCGACGCCTCTCGACGTCATCACCACCTCCTCCCCTCGCAGGTTAGGCTCTCCGACTGCCTCGTCTGCCTCGTCTGCAACCGCCCCCTCCTTGGCCCCACCCTCGTGGCCCTCCTCCTCATCGAGGGCGTCCTGAATGTCGTCCCTCTCTGCGTCATCCATCCGCTGTCTTTGGCCACCCGCGGGCGCTCTCGTGTCCCTTATGCCCTCGTCTGCCATCCACCTCTGCACCCGCTGAGCAGTGGACGGCACAAATATGTAGTCCGTGCCGTTCCAGAGTTCTGCGAGAACTCTCATCCCCCCAGGCTTGCAGAACTTCGACTGCGTGAAATGACGCGCGACCTTCGACGACCCCCCCTGAAACAGGTGGCCGCATAAGTTGCAACGCAACTTTCGGTCCCCATACATCTTGGACTGATCCCCGACGTACTGGCCCGCGGTGACATAGTTCCAAACAATTTTCCCTCGCCTCAACTTCGCCATCTCATTCTCGGACAGCGGGTTGAACTTGGCACCCCCAGACCCCCCCGCACCGCTGCTCCCTGCACCCCCCGTCATCGCCCCCCCACCAGGATCCAACGAGTCATGGCCCCGATCTTGGATGTCGTCTCACCGTGCCTCACCGTCGATATAGCGTCCCCTCGATGTCGCTGCCCCCTAATGTCCCCACCGCTCCCGCCGCCCCGTCCCCTCGATGTCGTGCAAGCCCACGGTCCACTAGCACCCCGGCCGGCCGCCCAGCAGCGTGCCATAAAGGCGGGCACCCCTGCCCGGCCGCCCTTGGCCTCGATCGGCCTCGATCGGCCGTGGTCGGCCGTGGCCGGTCGTGTTCGGCCGTGTTCGGCCTTGCCCGGCCGCGGCCGGGCACTAAAAAGGCCGCGCGCTTGAAAACGACGTCCGAGGTGATGGCGACGGCCGTGCGGCGGCCGCTGGGCAGCGCGGGGCACTAAAAAGGCCGCGCGCTGGAAAACGACGCGCGCGACGATTGCGACGGCCGTGGGGCGTGGATGGATGTATCGCAGCTGTGAAAAATATATATATATATATATATTGGGGCTTGGGAGGGACTTGTTTGGGGAATTTATTTTCGGGTGTAGTCATTCGTCGTG